CTTTAGGATTCAGACAATGCTTAAGCAACATGATGGAGTATGTTTTGGTGCCGAGAACGGCTGTCTAGAACATTTGGTCACTTTACTATGGCACGTTAACTTTTCGAAATTTGGAAATACCATAACTTCATTTTTTTAAATGGCACCCCCCATATTTTATTACTTAGTCGTCTCCGGTGTCTCATTCTACATCTTTTATATCCGATATGTCCCACATCTAACATTAATAGTTTGGGAGATAATTAGGATTTTTTGAAAAATGCACACATATCATATGGATATTTAGCGTAGTGTATCATGTGAAAACTGCCTCGTCAATTTCATGAAATCGTCTCTTCTTTGGCCCGGTACATTTTTTGCACGATGCCTCACAGTCTGCAATAGCTACCTTGTCTTTCCGCAACTTTAATTTCATTAACAGAAAAAATTGTATCAGCTTTTCGATTTCCTTAACGCGAACTTAATAACATCTCTTTAAACTTTGCTGTATAGAAGAACCTCTTAGATTTTTACTACTTTTTTTTTATAATTATGCTATTATATGTATAATTAAGCACACACCACGTTCGAGCTACTACGAGGGCAGTATGTGAACGGAATTCGTGCTAGGCATTACTATTTATTTTTAAAATTATATTTATTTTCCAATTTTTTCTGGCTTGGTAAATTTAAAGTCTAGTCTAATAAAAATTCGTCGTAAGCAAGGTTTCTTTAGGTGCATNTGAAGTTATGGTGCTTCCAAATTTCGAAAAGTTAACGTGTCATAGTAAAGTGACCAAACGATCTAGACAGCCGTTCTCGGCACCAAAACATACTCCATCATGTTGTTTAAGCATGTTCTGAATCCTAAATAGATATCTCATAAATTGAGTGTTCTATGATTTTTTGAACAAATGTCAGTTGGAGCAGATTTTTCTAGAAAAATTCGAATAACTCGAGAAGTGCTGGTTCAAATTGCAAAAAGTAAAGTTATTTATAAACCTTCAAAATAGACAAATCCAAATATGTAAAAATATACAGGGTGTTACATTTAAAAAAATAAAGTAGGCGGCGACTTCCGGTATAACCGGAAGTACTAGAAATCTGAAAATATTTTAGATGAAGAGAACATAATTGATAATACTTAAGTCTGCATTCTCAAATTTTTTGTTTGGCCAGAACCCTAAAAACGTCTAATGGCCGGTCTCGCTGAGACACCTGTATATGTATTACCTTGCTGTGGTTGGTCCGAGATTTCATCAGTTTTTGCTGCTGGTTCCCTTTGGAAAGGAGCAGACATTTCGGAAAGATCTTACCTGACATCTTCCGTGCGTTGTCGTAGTCTCCAGTCTGCCGACAGGACATACTTCTCCATCCGTGAAGCAGTACGCATTAACATGTATTACTTTCTTTATATATTTAGACCATAATGTTTTATTATGGCCTAAATATTATGATAATTCATGAGTAAGTATTGATTCTGCATCTAACATGTTTTTTAATGCTGAAGCCGATCAACACCGAATCATACAACGTGATTATATAACTATCAACTCTGTCAGTGAATTCAAGAACTAATTTCGGATATGAACATAATAGGTTCCGTTTTATCCGATAAATCCAGCCCCAAAAACTAGATAAAGGCTAGTTTACAATAATTAGATTGTAAATCAATAAAATTTATATTCATCGTGTTTTGTTAATGGCGATATTTTTGTCGATATTATTGGAATCAATTCTTAATTGTATTAATAATGTATATTATTTATTGCTTTTTCACAAGTTAACACTTTATAAAAGCGGGGTCGTCACATTTTTTACTGAAGATTTATTCCAGACGTGATATAACGTTCCTTTGAGCAATCGACCCACCGACGACGGTTTTATGGGGTCACACTTTGAGTAACACATATCAAAGTATAAACAAAGTTTTTTGCTACCCACTCGAGTTTGGATGAACGACTTCCTGTATACAAATTCGTTTTTTATTATTTCGTCCTTGAGAATTTTTACGTTAAAATACAAATACGAAAATTAAAAAATATTAATTGAAACCAATTAAAAAAATAAAAACGAAGTATTTCTGATTTTATTATTTAATTTTATTTTTTATTAATGAACTTTGTTAAAGGGGAATTTATTGTGTTAACCGAACCTAATGAAAATAAAGAATAATAACAAAAACTACAAAAACAACAACAAAAATATTTAGACGATTAAGACATCAGAATACATTTCGCTCCAACCTAAAAACAATTAGGTGTTTACCCGATTAAGATACCATAATGCGATTTTTCAAAACAATATAATTAGATTACCTAATTGTCGAACTATCAGAAATTAAATAGTAATTAAGCGTATATAAAAGATGTAGATTTAGTACGAACACTAGTTATGTTCTTCGACCCAGCTCTATACTGGTGTGAGACCTTTACCTCATCGTTTCGTGTTAGTAAGTTGTAACAAAGTTATTTATAAATAAAGTGTTTTTTTTATGGTCATCAACTTCGAAATAATTTAATTAGTGCAGTCAGTATGATCTGTTCAGGCACTTCAACGAGAATTCACCGTGAGTTTCTACTCTTAAGGAACAAACAAATCAACAACAAACGAATTACATCGCGAAGAAGACTCTCCAGAGCTCAAAATGATTGTAAGTGTTGTATAGGATCCAGTTGCTTCTATCCCGGACACAACTTTCGTATAATTTTAATCAATGAATTTTATATGACAACCACCTCTTCCGTCGAAGATTTAGACAAAATATTTCAAAGAATGTCGTTCTCTTCCCAAAATCAAACTCAAACACTGTTATGACTGATCTTATGGAGAGAGCTCGCGGGAATGCTTAATATACTTTATACGTTCTTCTTAGGTTCTACTCTAAATCTTAACTGACTAACGAACTGTTGTATCTGTAGTGTACCCAGTGTTGGAAAGACAAAATAAAACGCAGTTCAGCACTTTTACTTAAAATTAAATTTTATTTTTAATTATCACGGCACACGCAGACCGATCTTCTCTGCTCGTTTTCTTCGTAATATTCAACTAAAGACTAATTCTTTCTTTTCTAAAACGCTAATTATGATAGACGATATTATCATAGACCAACACAATTAGGGACAAGGAGAAATCAAAGTTCAAAGTAGTCAAATGAAAGAAACTTGACTTTACGCTGTAGTGTACCCAGGGTTGGAAAGGATGAATAAAATGCAGTTCAGCCCTTTACTTAAATTTAACTTTATTTTTACTTATCGCGCCACATGTAGACCGATATTCTCGCCGCTCGTTACTTCGTAGTAAAAACTTAAGACTAACTTTTCTTTCTTAAAACGCTAATTATTATAGACGATGTAATCGTAGACCAACAACAATTAGGGACAAGGAGGAATCGAAGTTCAAGTAGAAAATCGAAAGAAATGGACTTTACACGTTCAATTGCCCTTGGTCCGAATGACATCGTCTACGTATTTACTTACAATTACTTATCGTAATACAATAAGATACGAAGGGATTAAATATTAATAAAGGAATAAAATAATATGTATATATTATTAACAAAAATGTATATTTATGTGATGGGATATTACACAATTGGTAAATCTTACACCAGCATACATTCTGGGTAGAAGAATACTGACTTACAAACTAAACTGGACTACAATATATATCTGTCCTAATTAGCTTACTATCTAATGGTTAAACATACTTAAAGCTAATCTTTATTTGTATACAGTGATTATGGACATATAACTCCACACTCCCTAAGATTGGCGAAAGCGATCGATATTTGGGGACTCTCTGGAGATTATTCCTTTTATTTGTTTCCATGCGCACCATATTATGAGTCCCAAAATTGATAGCATCACGATGATCCATAAGCCTATGTTAGATTTGTGATGCAATTCCATGTCGATGTTTTCTTCTGTGTTGGTATGAATGCTCTCAATGATTGTGCGAATATTTCGGATGTCTTCGTGATTTGTTGGTGTAATCTTGATGACGTTGAGTTCTTTTTGTTTAGGTAATTTTACGTTGATCTCTGGGATTGATAATATCGTAGCATCCATTCCTTCGCTAAGGTTTATTTGTACATCGTCGATTTGGATTCTACATTGTTCTACTTCCACAAGGGTTGCTTTGTCAATCATGTAGATACCGCTTTGAGGGCAGGTTGATCTCAATGTTGATTTTCCTTTAGGATGGATCAGGACTTGTCCTGGGCATATTTCTTGGATTATTGTTTTGGTGAGATGAATTGCCGTCATTGTGCATTCACTAGTGCCATTCTTAAGAATGTTATTGATGCATGGATCTCCATTAATAAGGTCTTGGCGTGGACACAAGTATTGGTCTTCAATTGGGTCGCATCACTTCTTGATGTTCCAATTTTCTTCCGTGTTGAATAAGTGATAGGGGGTTTCGGGTATAAACGTGTAGTTTGATCGAAAGATGGGGTACAACTGGAGATAATGGTAGAGTTCGGATACTAAACGGATATGTATCTTGAATATGACTATGTCATTTATGATTACAGCATCGGTTGTAAAGAAGGAATACAAGTTTGCAGGATGTTTTACTTTGATCGTTTTTCAATTACTTTTTTCGAGGTTTGTTATAATTTTTTGAATGTCTTTAAGTTTGTAATGTACGGCTGAGTCTCAAGATATCGTCCGGTTGAACGTCGTAGTAGGAAGATAAACACAATTTTCTCTTACTTAACTATCTTTATTTTCTCCAGACGAAGGGTTGGTACAGAGTATGATGATGTTCTCGGTTGTAGTTCGATACTATTATTATTAATGGTTTTACAAATTTCGAGATCTTTTATATTAAGTCGAAGCGATTAGAATAATCATTAAGTAACGAGAATTACCAAAGTTCGTTCTTAATTGTTTTCGTCTTTTGGTGATCAATTGTTTGTTCTTGATATTTAAATGACATTTAACGGATGTTTTCTTAGTTATCTACTTATGGTTACTCTATTTTAATCTTAAATTTCTTAATTAGATTATTATTTGAAGTTATAACAAGATAATGATTGTTATTACATTATAGTTATATTACAATTGTATTACAGATACATTACACCTTCCCCCTTAGAGAAAAATATATACTTATATATTTTTTTGTCTTAAAATAAAATTCTTAACCTATCGTAGTAAAACGGCTTACATTTAATTAAATTTAGATATATATATATATATACACAAAATTATGAAATATTTTTTTAACTTTTTAGTTTTGCAATTCTGGTGCTCCTACGTAACGGAGATTGGTTTGTTTCCGGTAATTCGATATCTTCAGGGTCATGGTCAATCACTTCACTATGTTGTTTAGCAGTTATACATGGCAATATGGGTTTTCCTTTACGGTTTCTATACTTAGATTTAATATGTTTGTAAATTTTATATAGAACATACAGTCCTATAAATTTTAACGTTGTCATTAAGAAATAAACAAAATATGAATTTTGTAAGATATTAAATGATTCGACATCGTCAATTTTATCTGATATTTGGAAGAGTTTGTGGTTTACGATATCTAAACTTTCTATATCTAAGTTATTGATATGTAGGGGTGTAATTTCTGGGGATGTGTTTTTAATATTTTGTTTTGAATAGTGATCTTCTAAAATATTAAAGCTTGGGAATGTTATATCAAGGGTAGTTCCGGAAGTTAAATTTTTGTTAATGGGTTTTAAAACTGCTGAATTCGTAAAGAGTCGACACTTTGGTGGTAAGGTAATTATTCCTGTACCTTCGATAGGGAAATCGCGAGGGGATTCAGTTTTGCAATTTAAAGTTGCATCAATGCGGTTAGGCGTTACAAATAACCAACTATTCTGCGTATGTAGAGGGTGGAATATCTCGCTTTTAAATTTTGTCTTTCTTATGTCACAGGATTCGGGTATTTGATTGGAATGGAATAATAATTGCACTGAACAGAGATTTGATGTTCTTGTGAATTTTGTAGGATTTGTTTGAAAACAGATATAATGTTCTAATTCAATGGCTTTACATCCACTAAGATCGTCAATCGTGACGTAGTTTGTTTTAGAATTTGTCACTGATAAATATTTTACCAATGGTAATATAAAAAGAAACTCGTTGAGGTTGTTTTTCATCGGTAGTGGAATTAATTTGAATAATTCAAATGAATCTTGGGTAACCAAAGGGTTGGATATCTTGAAAATAAATAAATTAGAAGTGGCATAACTTTTGATTGATGACACTGACATAAGGTCTTTAACGTTGTGAAGTTCGATGCTTCTTACAAATTGAGTAGATGGTGGCAAATGGATTAGCGCCTTGGATAGTTCGTGAATATATTGTTCAACGGAGATTATAGAAGGGTGGATTATGTCTGACTTGGAAAATAGATATGCGTTTATTATTGTAGAATATTCGGTGTTCAGTTCATTGATTACTAATGATAGTCGAGAAAGATGTTCATCTATTTGTTGTCTCAATTCCATGTTAAAATATTTAAATTCTTGATCCGAAAGTGATTTTTTAAAGTTTTCAATGTTTTCGTTAAATATTTTATTGTTTAGGTTAACGTTGGTAAGTGACGAATTAAAATTTCGAATGGTACTACTTACAACTTGAATTTGTTCTTTTAAAAATCCTGCGAGATGACTGCATCACGGCTATCTAATGCACCAAATAATTCTTTAAATATTAAACCTACACCATTGACAAGACCGCGTTTAAATCGAGGTCGTTCTAACATTGAAGTGATTGAAAGCTGTAATTGTTTAATTTTTGGCAAAATCTCTCCAATTGCTCTTAGTGTTATGTTGCAATTTGTAAGGATAGTGTGGTTATAAGACGAGCACAGCTGTCTGGTGTCTCGATAAGCATTTTCTACCATGTTTAATTTTTGAGCAAAGGTATCTAAATTTATGTAGGTGACCATATCCCATGTTTGGTCGAAATATTGGACTTTTCCTAACTTCTCAAAGTATAATCCTGATGATTGACTAATAGGAACTATGTTAATCGTTGTGTTGGTGGAATAAACGAGAACTATTAGGGATCTGGAACAAACGCATGTTTCAACCTGTTAGTAGAATGCTACAGTTGACTGATGAATTTATTTCTATTATTTTATAAAAACCATTATATTTTGGGGCTAATTTTCTACTATTTTCATTTAGAAGAAATACATTATCGCCTACTTCAAATTTTATTTGTTTAATTTTCTTATCGTAAATTGTCTTATTGTTAAATTTGGATTTTATCAAATTGTCTTTAGCTAGTTCATGTGATTTTTGCATTTTGAATTTTAAATCATCTAGATAATTATCGTACGAATACTTGAATTCGGGACTTGATGTAATATTTGAAGGGAGACGAGCTTTAATTCCGAATAGAAGTTCGAATGGTGAAAATTTTGTTGATGAATGGATGTTAGTGTTGTATGAAAACATAGCATGTTCTATCCAATCATCCCACCTCTGACACCAATTTTTTGTAATGTGCGGCTGAGTCTCAAGATGTCGTCCGGTTGAAAGTCGTAGTAAGAAGATAAACTCAATTTTCTCTTACTTAACTATTTTTATTTTGTCCAGGCGAAGGGTTGGTACAGAGTATGATGATGTTCTCGGTTGTAGTTCGATACTATTATTATTAATGGTTTTACAAATTTCGAGATCTTTTATATNAATTTATGTGGGTGACCATATCCCATGTTTGGTCGAAATATTGGACTTTTCCTAACTTCTCAAAGTATAATCCTGATGATTGACTAATAGGAACTATGTTAATCGTTGTGTTGGTGGAATAAACGAGAACTATTAGGGATCTGGAACAAACGCATGTTTCAATCTGTTAGTGTGGACTGTTACTTTTTTATTTTTTATTAGAATGCTACAGTTGACTGATGAATTTATTTCTATTATTTTATAAGGACCACTATATTTTGGGGCTAATTTTCTACTATTTTCATTTAAAAGAAATACATTATCGCCTACTTCAAATTTTATTTGTTTAATTTTCTTATCGTAGATTGTCTTATTGTTAAATTTGGATTTTATCAAATTGTCTTTAGCTAGTTCATGTGATTTTTGCATTTTGAATTTCAAATCATCTAGATAATTATCGTATGAATATTTGAATTCGGGACTTGATGTAATATTTGAAGGGAGACGAGCTTTAATTCCGAATAGAAGTTCGAATGGTGAAAATTTTGTTGATGAATGGATGTTAGTGTTGTATGAAAACATAGCATGTTCTATCCAATCATCCCACTTCTGACACCAATTTTTTGTAATGTACGGCTGAGTCTCAAGATGTCGTCCGGTTGAACGTCGTAGTAGGAAGATAAACACAATTTTCTCTTACGTAACTATCTTTATTTTCTCTAGGCGAAGGGTTGGTACAGAGTATGATGATGTTCTTGGTTGTAGTTCGATACTATTATTATTATTGGTTTTACAAATTTCGAGATCTTTTATATTAAGTCGAAGCGATTAGAATAATCATTAAATAACGAGAATTACCAAAGTTTGTTCTTAATTGTTTTCGTCTTTTGGAGATCAATTGTTTGTTCTTGATATTTAAACGGATCTAATGATATTTAACGAATGTTGTCTTAGTTATCTACTTATAATTACTCTATTTCAATCATAAATTTCTTAATTAGATTATTATTTAAAGTTATAACAAAATAATGATTGTTGTTACATTACAGTTACATTACAATTGTATTACAGTTACATTACATTAGGTTCTACTCTAAATATTAACTGACTAACTATCTGTTGTATCATATCTTGACTTGCGACCTAGTTTAGCGGTTTTGTATAGAATACTTTTCAACCACACACAAATTTGGTATTTAACTACTTTATTGTGTATTATACAAGGTAATATACGGTAGGACTCTTAAAGGTCTTGTAATTGTCTCTCTGACTTTTCCTTTGTCACGGCTCCCTTTATATTTAAGTTTCTTTATTGGTTGAAGATACTTTTCTGTCGGTACACTATTTGTTACTATGGCGAAATACTATTGAGTGATATCGTTGTTGCTTCTTTGTCGGATTTTTAGGAAGTAGGTTGAGACCGAAATTATGGTTTTATAAAATGGTATAAGTTAATCTAGCAATACAAAGTACGAATTGATAGTGGTAATGACAGTTCCGAGGTCCGAACCATCTATCTAACAATTAGGGTTGTAATCAAGTCATTAACAATGATATGCTTTAATCTAATACAGATATTTTGACACAAAGGAAGTGGAAAGTTAATGTAATTTAATAACGAAACAATGATTATTATATAATAATAACAATAAAAAGTATATAAAAAGAATGATTATGTATACCTATATATATATAATAATAATAGTAATAATGTGGCATTATTACACCTTCCCTCTTAGAGGACAATTGTGGGAATGAAATAGAAACATTCCTTCAATTGGGCCAATCTAGTACTGCAGCGGAGAGGTGTATGCACGTTGGATTCTGTGTTGGTAGTTTCAGGTCCCACAGTGGTTTCTAATTCTAATGTTATGTTAGCGTTTCCTTCTAATGCATCGTCAATCGCAGACCTAGTGTCGGTATATTGAATGCGAGGAAGGTTGCGATTACATCTACAAATTTTCAATCGTTTGTATAGTTTGTAAAGCAGAAAGATCCCAACGCACTTGAGAGTGGTCATCAAAATGTAAACAAAATAGGAGTTGTGGAATATTGAAACGGTAGTATCGAACTGATCGACCTTTTTACGCAATTTATGTAATTTATAGCTGGCGACATCTAAATTGTCTCAATCAAGGTTGTCAATGTGAAGGGGTGTAAATGTTGAAGTAACTAAATGTTCATGTTCTGGACAACAGTTGTCACATAAAATATTGAAACAGCTGAATTGGTGTACAAGTTACGGTTTCGGGCCACCGTGATAATTCCGGTTCTGGATAGGATATGATCTTCGGGTTGTTTATTTTTACAGTTCAAGGTAGTAGTTAATTTGGCTGGTGCTACTGTTGCGGAGTGCGCTTTAGGTTAAATGAAATAAATATGGCCAGGAGAAACTTAAGATGTAACAAAAAACGTTTTTATTCTTTAATAACAACTTTTACTAGTTTTTTAATACAACTCAACGAACTCAACACGCAGTCACTTACACACAAGGTTCACGATTGCCAACCTCGTCTCTTACAAAAACCCTATTTCAACAGCTACAAACAACCAAGTGTTAGCATGAACTAATGAGTGGAAAATTTTGTTTTGGAAGTTAGTTTTCCTTACATCACATGAACTTGGTAATTGCTCTGGTCTAAACAAGAGTAATATTTCGCATAAGGTAATCATTCTAGTAAATTGTTCTTGCAACCTCAGAAAATAACGTTGAGGTAAATTCTTTACCTTGATCTGTTAAGAGTGATGTTGGAATACCGAAGTTACAGATGAACCGTTGGACAAACACTTTAGCTATCGTAGCTGCATCGTGTTGTGGTATTGCGTAAGCCTGGGTGAATTTTGTTAAGTCGTCTTGTAAGGTGAGGATATATTTGTTTCCTGACTCTGTCAGGGTCAATGGTCGCACTATATCTAGTGAAATCCTTTCAAATGGTTTATGCGAAGTGGTGGTTATTTCCATTAGTTCTTTTCCCTTTTTTCTTGTCAATTTATTTCTTTGGCAACTATCGTAATGTTTTACGAAGGTCTGTATGTCCTTCTTCATGTTATCCCATTTAAACGAGCCTTTATGTATACCTATATATATATAATAATAATAGTAATAATGTGCCGTAATTACAACTGTTATGACTAGTTTTGCGGATGGAGCTCGAGCGGTGTTCTTTCCGCACCTATACATGTAATGCTTAATATACTTTATACGTTCTTCTTAGGTTCTGCTCTAAATCTGAACTGACTAACTAACTGTTGTATCCTATCTTGACTTGCAGCCTGGTTTAGCGGTTTTATATAGAATACTTTTCAACCACACACAAATTTGGTATTTAACTACTTTATTGTCTATTATAAAAGGTAATATACGATGAGACTCTTAAAGCTCTTGTTATTGTCTCTCTGACTTTTCTTTTGTCACGGCTCCCTTTATATACATTACCAAATTATGTTTTAATTATTAGAAAGTGTAATTAGATAGTGATTATTAATCCATTATGAAAGTGACTCATGACCAAGGCTAATCATTTGAGAAAGTGGTATGCAACACCTCCCCACATAAATATGAAAACTATCTAAAGTATAAAAGTGAGAGCAACAAACGTCGACGTTGTCAACCGGTTGCAAAGGCTGAAATTATGTTTCAATAATCCGAAGTTGAATAAAATATAACTTTATTGGAGATTGGAAGGGTTACAACTTATGCACTAATACAAAAATAATAAGAATAGCTTCTAGGTCAAAGAAATAACTAAATCTTGTAATGAACAAGCATGCTTATATTATTATATGACTTAATTGCTATTTAATATCTAAGGTAAGACTAATGGTTTCTGGAATACGAAGTTAATAACAGATTAAGATGTCTTAATCTGGAAAACAAGTCGTGGTTTGCTCATATAATTCTAATTTTCCAATGAAATAGATGCTTCCCCCTCTTGTTATCGAAAGATGACGGCCCTTTCTTCCCGTC